TTTCGCTGTGCTTCCGGATAAAGTTTCCAGAGTAGCCATTAGCCATTAACTTGTTGGTACTTAGTTCTGGTTCATCGGCTAGACAATCGGTCGAACGTATTCGTCTGGCGCGACTAAACTGGGTCTTCACAAGCGTTCGCTTGTGCCGCATTGGCGAGAATCCGCTGGTGGTTGGGTTGCTACAAGCAACCTCTATTGAGACTTCGGTTCACTTGAGGTGGACCTCGGTCATTCCGATCACAAAGACCGTAAGTAAAACCTTGAACATTTGTATAAAGGCAGGATAGTTTCTCGGTCTCTAGTGGCCCACAGGGAGCCAAAGGAGTCAAATGTGCTACAATGCGACCGACGCGAGTTTGGCCGTTATTCGTTTTTTGATGGGATGTTGATGACAAGGCGTTTGCAAACTGATTTGGTCAAGGTGCGTCGAAGTGGTACACTTTTATGATGTCTCTGCCAGCCTCCTAACACTTCCTTTGCTGTCTGCTCTGACTGAACCAAAAGTTTTAGGATTCTTGGTCCGCTTCCTCCATAATTTGGTGATAGAGGTAGCCTTTTGAGCGATGGTGCCACAACGTTTTCCAAGGAAAGTGTATCACGAATGGACCGCCACTGTTCCAAATCGTCATTACCGGCTTCATCGCAATCGTGGGAAGCAAGTTCTGGCACGCCACACATAAAGATAGTGCTTAGATAATCCAGCTTGCAATGTCCATCCGTTATGTTTCTTTTCTATTGACGCGTGCTCCAAATAAACTCAGGATAGATGCGTACTTTATAAGGCCCGTGTTTTAGCGTACTTATAGAGAGTAAACTTTTACTGCATCATTGGCCGATTCCAGTTTTACCATAATAAGTTTGCGTTCGCCATAGTGTGCAGAGCTCCGGTGACGAGTAACTCACTAGGTTTGTGGGTTTGGCTTTTACCTTCATTACAATACACAGCGGGCTCCTTTGGTCTTGGTTGTCAGACAACTTACCCGCAACGTGATGGCCCTAGATTCGGGGACATTGGTGCACACGACTGTCAGGGAGCCCACTTTTGTTGAACTGGAAGGTCGGCTGATCGTTGGGCCTGACTTTATGCCAAATGATGATGGTTCACCGTTTGTCGCGCTATTGGCGTTAGCGGCGTTTGCAACAGAGGAGAGACGAAAGGTAGCATCTCGAAGGATTGTTGCAGCGGTCTCTGCATACGTGGCTGGAGTCAGGGCATTTGAACTCGACCAGAGACTCTTGGGTTGCAGATGCAGTAGACTCGGGTTCGGCTGTCCCATCCTTGTTAATGAAACAAGTTGTCAAGATCTGCTGAATTTGATCGAGCACGCGTTTCGATTGGTCCCTAATTTTCGGGGTCCCGAGTACCGTTTGTCCATCGGAGTTAAGGTCTGCTTTCGCCTGACGCTCTTCCAAAATTGAAAAAGATAACGGCAAAATGAGCTTGTCAATCGTGGTTCGAGTGAAGCAAATTTTGCACCAATGCTGCACTTTGAAGCCACTATGCTGTCATGGTGGATGCTTGCTTTCAGTGATATATTCTTAGCGTTCACACGTTGTTCAAATTCTTCTGTTAACCGCTCGCACTTTTGGACTGGGAGAAGTGTACATTTGACTAGTGGGATGGTCGAACACGCAGCACAAAACCAGATATTGTCTTGGGCGCTGTTTCGAACTCTCACGTTTTCTTGGGAAAGAGTTGCAAAATCTGAATCGCACCATCTGAAACAGTGTCGGCAATGTACACTGAATTTTGTTAATCGGTTACATTCAGTGGATCCACATTTACCCTTCGACTGCAGCCCTTTTGGATTCGAATCTACTTGCTTTCTACTACTTGGCATAGTGTTGCTACCTTACACAGTAGGTTAGTTGACATTGATCTGGCGAATGGTGCGTTTCTCGTGAGACGAACATCTTGATAACTGAATTATAGCGTTTATCGTCTAAATCGTGAATTAGCTAAATCGTGCATGCAACCAATAGTCGTCTGGTGCAGGTTACGTTGCCTTTACTTCGCGGCCGCATTTGCACATAGAATATTAGGGGAGAATGATTTAGAGACTACAGGAGTACGCCAAATTAATGCCACTAGTTCTGATCTGTATTGCGTGCCTGAGGGTAATATATGTGACTCACAAGCAGATAACGAACCAAATTGACCTAATGTGTCTACTTGCCATTTAGTTCGGCGCGTGCAGCGCGTATACCACGTCGCGAATTGGATTAGACCCGTTGTCTGCTCCTGGCCGGAGTCGTCTCTGGGTGATCACGTTCATGTGTCCAGCCGAATAACCGCTTCAACCAACGCCGGTGTGCACGGGAGCGCCAGACACTTCCGGCTCATGGTTACTAGATGTGCTGCGAATTTGAATTCTACTACAGCGCTATCCTGCGACTGCGCAATCTGAGAAGCGCTGATAGAATTCCACTTGTACAGGCGGAACGGGAATGTGTTACGAGCTTCTCTAAGATCCGCGGAAGCTGGCTTAAGTTCGATAATGTGATTGGATTTCAAGTGGGCGATTTTTCGATCTGTGTGTTGGGTGTCAACCGTTCAGGGGTGACTTTTTAACAGGTACATTGGAAGTCATTGCACCACTTTGCGTCTTTGTAGCTAGTGCACTTCGGACTTGAAATACTAGTCTTCTTGGGACACTTGTTTAGGCTCTGGTCATGTTATAGTCCGTCATATCAATGTATACTTATCATACGAAAGCATACCATTTTTCTTTAACGGCTGCCGGGAAGCTATCTAATTTCATGATGAGAGCCTTACCAGGATGCGTCGCGGATTCCGCTGTCGCATTCTAGGTCGGACAATATCATGTCACTGAAGTGTAGGACATCTGTTGCTTTGCACGACTTAGCGGATTCGGTGAGCGGTGCAATCAATCTCGAGTATCCGAAAGGATGGTCAGACGATGGATCAATCAAAACCACCCTTCCTGACTTCAGACACAGCATGAGAGCGTAAACTACTTGACACCCGTTGAAACAGGACTTATACCCTGACATACTCGGGAGTCTAGGAGAATTTAGATGGGCGGTATGGTGGACAGTTTATTCAAACCGTTACAGCGAATCAACGCGACTGACCTCAAGCAGTCTTCAGTTGTTAGAACAATATAAGTACTATTCCTGGTAGCGTAGAATGTTTCGTTATGCTTATTCTAAATAAATAAATCAACAGATAAATATAAAGACGTACTAAGCCCCTGGGCATACTGAACGATGGTAGTCACAAAGTCGAACGCTTCAGTTGTCATTCACTTCGCATGTCCGTGAATATAAACGGCTGAGAAGGGCGCGCGAATTCATACCGGGCAGCATGGTTAATATTTTCCATATCCTTGTCAATACGTGTGGTCTCAACATAAACAGCACGGAGTGGATAAAACCGCCAAATATGCCCAACGCTTAGCCCCTTCGGTAAAGTGAGGATCTGTTTTCACTTCCATTGCAGATAAGATTAACTTGTACACTCGTTCTGTGGAAGTCGCCTCATGTGCAACGTTTCTATTGAGCTGCAATTTGTGCACTTAGTAAAATGTTCAAGGTTAATGAAGAAAATTACGCTTTGTTATTGTTGTCCTTTTATTCACAACTGGGGTTTCCAAAAGGCACTCCGAAAGAATTGCAAGCGGGTGCAAATACGTGCATCGAATGGGAACTACACACTTTTTCGAAGAATTCTTAAGCTATGTAAGAGTAATTGTTTAAGAAGACGTTTACTTTTACCGGAAGAACTTGGTTTTAATACAATGTCTATTATATCTAAATTATGGTAGGTCTTAGCGGCTAGTAAATTGTTCGGCTATGTATGCCAATTAAGGTGTTCAGTCGGGAGGAAGTTTTCAGCCATATACGTACTGGTAATAAAAGTCAGCGAGAAAGCAAACATAATGAAGTTGTAGACTCTGTGCGCTTCTATCTATTTTCTTCCATGCAGGTGTGTGCTACGTGAATTAAAAACACGGCACACGGTAGAAATAACGGTTGTGATTCAGGCAAACGTTTTCTTTCCAGCCTCAATGTGAGTATGATGGTCGCAGCGCAGACCTCTTTAATTAAACAGTATCTGTTAGGTTCGAGCTAAGATAGATGAAAGTAAATGACCGCTAAGAAACAATATCGTGGTTCTCAAATTTACCAGTTCGTGTTACTACCAACGAATCGTAGGTCATAAAGCCGAGTGCAAGACATCGCGCGAATGATACATTTGTGGAAAGCGTACGCGACGCTGGGACCCTGTTGTCTAAACTACGGGAGTGTCTAATATCATTTGCGTGCAGTAAGCCTTGGGTTCATGATAGAAAAATAACTCTTGAGATTTGGAATAATCTTTTACTTGTTTTAAGGTCCCAGGTAAGATTAGTCCTTCTTCAGATAACGTGAGTACTCTAGGGAAAATCATTTATTTATCGTTTGATGTCTTAGTGTCACAACACGCTAAGGCTGCGCAAGTACTTGATTAAATGTGGCCGCCTAATTAGTACAATAACACACTGAGTGAATTAAAGCTTTGTGTGTGTGTGTGTGTGTGTGTGGTAGCTTGCTAACTCTGTTCCTTATATAACAGAAGAGCTGGCTAAAATTTTGCTTTTAAGTTTGAAGCAAGGCAGAGTTTACGGGTTATATGGGACTTAAATAATTATAACTTGTTAGCCTCAGAAAACTGATGGGCATAACATCCAACTCATTCGATTGCATGCCGCCGGTCCGTTTATCCCTTTGTGAATGAAACGTTCAATATCAGTGCATCACCTAAGTAACTACAAACTTGCTTGGCGTCATTTTGGACGGATAAGCTTTAGCAGTGTATTCCACTATCGCAGATGGCAATTGCGGCCAATTTCATGCTACGCTCAACCGCCAGCTGGCATTCTGGCATTAAATGGCTGGTAAGCATTTATCACCCGGCCTGTTCGCACAATGCTCTGATATTCCTCACGTGACCGCGGAGGTCGCATTGTTTTCCTGATGCGCCACATCCATGCACCAGCGTGTCCAATCGATCACCACCGTGCGACGAACTTAGCGGCATTAACTGTTTACAGGGTATTTGAATTCGGACAGTTCGCTCGATGTTGACGCTAGCGCACGCATAGTCAACATGTTTCATACGATCGTCGGTTGCATGCTTCTACTTGGGTTGGTTGATAGTCTCGTTCCTAAACCGAAAGAACAAACAATTGGGACTGGATTGCTTAGCTTAAACGATCAACTCACTTTGGAACACGATCTGCCAAAGTGCTTTATCTTACAGGATGCTTTTCGGGAGTTTTTGAGGCGGTTGCGCTTGCGGCCCCTACCAACGAACCGGAGTGATCCGGTTACAGGCAACGTTCAGGTTGTCAGAACCCGTCTTGCTTCCCAATGTGACGAATTGAAGGTGTTGCAGTGGCCTTCCCCTAAGATGAAAGAGCAGTGTATGTGAGCCATTTTTCAAAGTAAACTAGTAATCCTTCTAGACACAATCGTCGTGGATCAGGACCAAATTGAAATCGAAGCGGAAGAGGTCTGGGGTGTATTGCATGCCCTACAAACCATTGGTCAACTAGTGCGTAAAACACCTACTGGGATGGTAATAACGTCCAATATGCTCAACCATCATTTGCATACTTGCAGTATGTCATCAAAGCGCAGAGGGTAGTTGACAGACCACGCTTTATACATCGTGGCTTTTTGATCGATACCTCAAGACACTACCTACCAGTCGAAATGATTTTACAATTTCTGGTAAGAGAGGAATATGGCCGTGGGTGAAATCCTCTGTTGTCGTTATCAGGAGGCCATGTCGATGGTGAAAATGAATGTTCTACACTGGCATATTGTGGACACCGAATCATTTCCTTACATGTCGTACACCTACCCGACATTGTCTGCGAAAGTAGGATGGCACATTACATAGTTTCATTTTCATTTTCTACTTTCAGGGAGCATTTGACCCCAATGTATTTGTGTACACAAACAGCGATGTAAGGAGGATCACTGAACACGCCAGACGAAATGGAATCAGGGTGGTTGCCGAGTTTGATACACCAGGTAAGCGCCTTGCACTTGTTGTAAGCCATAGGTCCTCAATCACTAGATGGATAGGACTTCAGTACGCATGATCTAGCTACCATCGAAACATGTTAAGTAAACAAATAAATTTAATTCTTAACAGTAAGGGGGTTCAATCGTGGGCTTTGGAGTGCCCGCATTGTTTGTAGGAAGTAGCCTTGAAACTCTCCACTCCAGTAACTGAGATTGTTCCCACGTTGGAGCAGAGCGTCGAATAGTCTGTAGTTGTACTGAAAAATGAGCCCCCGTTGACAAAAACGTGATGCCAGAAGTTCAGCATTCATAAGGATAACAGCCGTTCGTATTTTTGTCGCATGTTCTTCAGGGCGAGGTTAAACTGAGTAAATATGAGTAGGGGGGACTGACATGCATTAGGTTGCACATGCCAAAACGACGAGACTGTACCTTAGCGAGGTGCGATTGTTTGCATGACTCAGAAATTTATTGAGCTATGCTGGGTGGTGCTTTTTCCCCTTCACAGCTACTCATACCAGGTTGGCTAATGGTAAGAGTCCAAAATAGCTGTCTCCTAGTCTTCCAGTTTATACAGGGTGTTTTATTAATTACGTCCGAAACTAGGAGCGACTGCCCTCACGTTCCGACTTACCCCGGCACGCAAACCCGCAAGGCGCTGTAACACTGTACTGCGTTGCGCGGCCATTAAAAAGCAGTATGTGCTTCCAGTAGTGAAGAAATTTGCACAAACTGTCAGCGTTGGGAACATCAAGCAAACCGGACGGCCTCGCACCGTCACGGATGAAGTATCAGCTTGCGCGTTGTGCAAGAGGTATGCAGTAAGAGCCATCGCAGCCTTCGGCAACTCGCACCAAATTGCGAAACCACACAGTGTGCTGTGTATCGGATATTGAAGGAAAGCGTTCCGACGGTACAGTGCACTGCAGATGTAAGTGTCGTACACATGCGATTCACAGAAGCGCCTAGAATTCGCCGGTGGTTTTCCAAACAGTCTGAACGTACATTCCATTGTGTTCATCGATGAGTCGGTTTTCCGTCTGTGTGGCGAAGATCCGCAGCAAATTTGGGCAACAACTAACCCACGGCAATGTAGCTCTTCACAGGTGCATCATAACGTGAAGCTCATGGCCTGGGCTGGCTTGACTGCTCAAAAAAGAATTGGGTCCTTTTGCTTTTCCAGGAGTGTGTCCGGTAGGTTGTTGTTTAACAGTACTAATGTCTGACATTTCTTAGCATCCTCGTACATGGAAATGTTGCAGACCAGCATCATTCCGCAGCTACACTTGGAAGGGTTACTGAATAAATTCCAGTGGCAGCAGGATAGCGCGCCTGCACATTCGGCGCAAACAGTTCTTGCTTACCTGAAGGAGACTATTGGTAGCCTTAGGATCGATCGCTGTTAGAGTGGTCTGCACTGTCACCGGATCCAAATCCCATGGATTTTTCCTATTTGGGCACTTGAGGCGCCGAGTTCATAGAACAGAAGGTAACAGCCTGGATGAACTAAATAAGAACCTTTTGAACGGATGTAACCGGATTTCCTTGGAGAGTGATGGAAAGTTGGAAAGTGCTGGCCAACACCATCCGGCCAACGCTTCTCTGCAGTCAAAACGACAGACCGCACTTCGAACACCAAACTCCTTGATATTTACAGACATTGCACACGTTTCATATAAATATAAGTAAAGAAATCAATAAATGTATATTCTTGCTTGAACACGTGAGACACCATCGAATCATGATCAATTTGTACAACAAGCACTTGTCAGCCTGTGAGGGTAATAGTAGCATCCATGACTAAATTGGTGTGCTGTCTACTGTTGTCACTAGTGCATCGGGGTAGACTGAAATCTAAGAGCACTGTCAATTCAAATCAAGTATGCGCTTTTTTGCACCTATGAAAGGTGTATTTCCAGCTGTAGCAAGCACGCTATCGAACCGGTAAAATGAACAAGACTGTAATATTAGAAAGTGCTTCTGGCAGTATGGTTCCCCTTAGCGGCGAAAGCAACCTAATGAAAGCTTCCGGATTTGCTAGAAGCCAGTTATGAGACTTTTGTCGCGATTGCATTTTGCCAAGTATTTCGATAGTAGCCGGCGCCTATCTGTCATTGCCTAGGGCCAGGCTGTTCTTCTCGATTGCAAGAACAGCGAGACATCATTCATTTCGCAGGGATCCCTTTTGATGACATTTTCACCTGCATGAAAGCCGACTACCAATCAAGCGAATCATGACACGTCCAGTGCGGCTTCGGTGTTTGGCTAGCACTCACTTCTCACAGCTGAACGACCTCGGTTCCCTTCGTATGCCCTGCGATCATAGGCACACAGCTCCCGCCTCTGTGGCCCACCTTATTCCTGCCGACACGTTCGGAAAAGCATTTTGCGTCATTGGACAGTTGGCAGTTCAGCGTGCCGGGGGAAGTTGGCACGTGAGCGCAGCCGTTCTTAGTTTCGGATGTAATTAATAAAATACCCTATAGATTGGAGTACGGATGGCTCCTCACCAAATAAAATGGACCCTTTGTAGCCTAGTGCCGAAACTTCGCTGCGTTGCGGTCAGGTTTTTTTACTAAAGGCTTTGATTATGAACCCTAATCGTTCTCCTGTCTAGGCTTAGGCAACCTGACAGTATCGTGCCTGCGATCTACTAAGAATCTTTCCTCAAACACTTTCTTGATGCTCTGGCCGTCTCAGAGAATAATGAACTACGCTCTATCTGCTGCACTGAGCAGGACAGATAGTGGTTTACATGCTATTACTCAGAACTTTCCGCCTTTTTCTCCACTCTCTTGCGCTTTTTCATCCTTATCGCCCCTGCCAAATGCACTTTCGTACTCCAAATTTTCATCTCTTCAGTTTTTGGCCTTCCCCCATCTTACTTTGATAAGCGGTTGTCATCTACTTTCAAACTATACGCAATCGCAGAGTGTCGCTCCAGTCCAATCGACAAGTACATGTCCAGCGAAACGGACAACGTCAATTCGTCTGTTTCTATTTGGAGCCCTCGATCCTTCCTAAGACGGGCATGCCTGAATGTGCGCAATTTGTTGTAGATTGGCCAACAGGCAGCAATTGCCCGCACACTAGGAGTCTTATTGATCGATAGCTACTGTATCTTTAAACTCCGTTTGCAATATTCGAGTTCCGTAATTTCTCTGAACATCCCAACATGCGACACGCGATATTTTCTCATTGCGCTTGTCCGGAGTTGACGCAGCTTCAAATGCCGCTCATGCAGGCGTAGGCGTTGCTTTGAGTCGCCCGGGTGAAGCTGCGCTGATCGATTGGATCCTAGTCAACAGTCGGATGTGCGTCGTTAGATTGGCTGGATCGTTCCGAGCTTGGAAGCCGCGCGGGGACTACAGGTGACGGTTTGCTATTGCGGCGTACGCCCCCACAAACTGTAGCACGGATTCGGTGAAAGGTGATTCCTATCCAATTTAACTGTGGTGCTTGCTGTTGATCTGAAAGCGCAAGTCCGAAGACTGTCCTCTGATGAGTTTCAGCTGGGCGGTCAACATGGTGTAGATGCTAATGATAACGGTGTGCGGTTGCTATACCTGTGTGAAGATACTCGTCTCTTTCTCGCGAGCAATAATTTGCGACACAGCACCCGTAGGAGAGTGACTTGGCGCCCACCAGCCTCGGACCAGTCATGGAAACAAATCGAGCACATCGCTATGAATTACTGAGGGAAATGTTGTGCCAAAGCTGTCGCTGAATTTGGAGCACGTGCGTGAACTCGGACCATGCATTTGTTTGCGCCGACCTGAGCGTGCGCTTTGACGGAATTCTGTAACGTTGCTGTCAGCGCATACATACATTCAAACTGGCGAAACCAGGTGTTCGGAATGTGTATCAAATTACGCTGGCATCCGGGCTAAATGAACGTCCACTATATCTTTTCTGAAAATCACTAGTCGCATATCCGCCAGCGGTTATTAGCAGCAAGGATGAGTTCACGTGGTAAATCAAATTGCTAACTGGACAATGGGTCTTTCTATGCAGTCACTGGAAGTTCTGGGTGCTCGCCGACCTTTTCCGCATGATAGTGAGCACAACGAGACCCGCATAGATCTCAGGGCGAAACTAGGTACTAGCCTGCGAAGCCTGGTGGTCTTCTCGTGCCTCGGAGATGGAGAAAACCGCTGCCTTCAGTAGCTATCGAAAGTCCTTCAGTCTGATACAGGAAATGGGCAGTAGGAGACCCGGAGTTAGCGAGATCACATGTGACGAGCTTGGACAGCCGATCCACAGCTTGTCATAACGTTTGAGGCGTTGAACCAAACACGTTGAGAGACAGCTTAATCGCTCAGAGTTCCCAGTTGCTCTATCGGTCGAACGAGAGATCAGACTGTTGAAACTGAATAGGGCCACCTGAACAGATGGACTCCATCCATCCCCTTCAAATCCGGGGGAATGCTCTCATGGATACTTTGCAAAACTCAGTAATGAAATTGTGTAAGACACTGTCCCAGCAGACTGGAGCCGCTCCGTCCTTGTTGTTATTTTAAAGCGCTGCTTACCTTCCGAATGCGATAGGCATAGAATAATCATGCTGATCTCAAATGCTACTAACTTACTTGCCTCTGTTGTTTTCCATAGACGGACTGGTACTGGAGCAAGCCAGAAGCGCCAGTAGCAAGCCGGGTTTCGTTGAAATCGAGGCTACATTAACCAGATCTTCGCACCACTCCAATTTTTGGAGGACCACCAAATCTAACGGCGACCCAAGATGATCGCGTGTCTCATCGTTATAGGTGCCTTCGATTCGGTGGATCGATGTGCTCTTTGGTACTGTCTGCTGAGGAAAAGGGTGCCTGATAAATACGTAAACATTATCAGAGCGCTTTACGCCTATAGTTCGGTCAGAGTGAGGGTTTATGGCAAACTGTCGCAGCTCTCCAATATCTCCAGGAATGTGAGACAAGGATGCCAGCTATCACCCTTCCTCTTCGTTATTGACGAAGTCATGGAAACAGCGTTCGCTGGACACGACC